ATTAACACGAAAAGCGAAACTGCAGCTATTTTTATATTTCGGGGTTAGAAAGAATCCGAACTGATGAGCGCATTTCAAACCACAACAGATGTAAAATGTACGTGGTAACCTGTAAAACCTCCAACTTACCTCACAGAATAGACAAAATGTCCAGGTATGCGCCGTGCCATGTTCCGCGATTCAGACCGAGGCAACAACATTTCCGGTGATGTGTTGTGGTCCTATTACACTGAAAACAAACCGATTTGCGAATACATCTCTTAATACACTAGAAATACCACTCTCGACTTTGAGACAGTTTTGCCAGCAACTACTATTTGTCAACTCTGCGTGCACATCATGTTGGAACATTTCTGTGGGGAAATGATTGCTGCACAACCTGCACTTGTGCTCTTGTACATCCCATTACATTAGTCATTATGGTGACTAGTGAGCAGGAAGGCCGCCCCACGTCACAATTTGAGTGAACTCTCGCTCTCGCCTGGGGTGAGACCAGGGGTTTGAGACATCACGGCGACTTACAGTACAATCACAAAGTTTACGATGTGGTGCTTAGTTCGAAATGTGTCATTTGTTTTTCCATAACGTTAATTCGATTATTTTAGTTACTGAGATTTAATAACCGGTCTGAGAAATTGGGACTGCAGTTCCCCCTTTAAACAAGTCAGCGGATCAGTTAAGCGATCAATTAGCACTAGGGATTTCGAGCTCCGATGGAATGTTCCTCCAAGGGCAGGGTTGGGAATCAATGCTCTGCGCAGCTCTGACATTGAGCCCAAGCAGTGGAAGCCAAATCCCACCTGTTGGTCCGCCCTTCTTTCGCCCATCTCACACACACAGCACAGCAGTATGGCAGCACAGCTGTCTCTTCCAGGTTGCCGTGGCAACTCCAATATCGGCAGGACGACGCCCAACAGGGACACAAAAGGGCTTCAAAATAATCGTAGGGCCCAAATTTCTACAAACACAAGCTAAAAGCCCTGTTGTCATGGATACAAACCTGTGATATTGATTCAGTCCCAAAATGCAGTCTCACCTTCAAGCCCACCTACTTAAAAGGCTATATGAGGCTGTATTTTGGGATCAATGCCTATTCAACTCTGCCTTCTTTCTAAATGACAGTTTAAAGATTAAGAGCTAAGTACATGGGGTGTCGTGATTTGAGCCTCACAAAGTATCGCAGCATCGTAAAATGTTACTGAATGCACAACATTGGTGCTGAAAAGCAGAGCCAGACCACACATTTTCACTGAAGCATCTCTGACTTGCAGTCTTTGCTCTTGTCTGCTCTGTCATGCATTCAGTATCAGGTAGTTAACCACACGGTACCCTGTCCTTAAAAGTAACAAGGAGATGGCATGTTTTATTAGGGGTGTCTTGATGTTACTTGATTAATTACTTAATAGAACTGAATTTTTAAAAGTGTTTGCTTACAGTAACATGTTCAATCTGCTTGACTGGCACATGAAGTAATAGCCTTTGGGTAAAAGGAAACAGAAATGTTGCCAGAATTATGCTGCTGACAACTGGCTTGGCTACAGATGCCCCTTACTGAGGAATGGAAGGA